TTTTAAGGAGCATTGGCTGCCTGGCTCCTGTGATTTGTCTAGCCCTGATGACAGCATTTCATTATAGCATATTTCACTGTATATATTTTATTTCTACGATGCTGTCATACAGAAGAACAGTCTCATGAATTTGTAAAGCAAACCTTTGTGGAAATGAAGATTCTTCAAACAAAATCCATTTTGATGCTCACACAAACATGCCTACGTAGACCCTCTTAGTGTATATCTGATTGGCGTAAGGTCTGTCTTTGAATCTGCATTTTTATTGGAAGCCTGTATAGGAAGACAAAGTCTAGGATTCAGATTCAGAGTACGTAGCATTGTACATGGCTGCCCCATGGATATCTTTTATTACTAACTTCCAGACAAGCATTTTAGGTTAGTTTTGGATATAGTGAGGAACAGCTAATATACTCTAAGTTTTTATTTCTGTCTCTGATTTCATTGCAGTCAGATTCCCTCACTTGAATGGCAATAAAGGCCTGTTTGCACTAGCCCATCTACTAAAACTCTGCGTTTTAATGGACAGCTTCGTTTCCTTCTTTTTTTAATTTTATGTAAACCATATAGTGTGTCCCATCCTTTCAGGTGCCCTGCACAGCAGCGTGTTGCATTGCACTTTTGCACGGTGACCTGCGGTGCATCTAGTGCACTGCAAAGACATGCTGCATGCATTTTATGGCAGCGCACTACCCATGACACCTGCATTATAGTGTGAATGAGACACACAGTAAACGGTTGTTTTTCTACATTTTTCTTGCGGTGACCTGTGTTGGTCCTTATTTCTACCTGTTTTGTGTATATGCAGAAATGATTGGCTTTGCTGCAAGTAAAGTTGGTGTACAGACATGACTGTGTGCTTTTTATTGCACTCCAGTAGATAAAACAGCCTCGTTTTTGGAAACACACTTGGATTAAAGCAAAGTAGGGAGTGTTCAGGGATCAAAGTCCTTAATGCCTGCCTTGGTTGATATATGATAGCTTGGTTGGTTTCCGTGTGTATAAAAGAATGCTGAAGGTGAAAATAACCAATGGGTCGCCTGTGCTGCATGTTTTGCACCAATTTATTGCATAAACTATTGGGATGGGGTCAGAATTGGAGACGTGAGGGTGTGAGTCAGGCTGGTTGTTAGGTGTTGGCGTATGTGGAGATCGTTTTCTGTCTGAGTCACGGAAGTACTAGCGTTCATAAGATTACCCTCATTACACTGTTTTATGATGAGTATGTAAAGAATATGGAAGTGTCAGACCACAACATTTATGGTGTCCATTAACGGCTTCCTGCTGTTTTGTAATTCCAACTCACAAAGGAATTAGTGAAGTACTAACCACTTTCTTCCCAGTATTGGACCATGACGTTTGGCTTTTGATGGCTTTTCTTAGGGCCCATTCACACCAGGCCGTGAAAAAAATATTATTTACACATCGCACTTTAAGCATGCCGGTTCCTACACGCAACGCTGGTCTTTTGGGCGCTGTGGGTAGTGAGGGATGCGACTCGAGCAGTGAAGTGCTCAGGTCGCATCTTCGCCCCTTCTCCTCCCACTACTTGCCGATTTCACAAAATGCTTTTGTATTTTTCTCAACGAATACAAGGTGTTCTGTGATTGGAGCAGAGATGATGTGACAACCTCAATGTGAACGGCACTGCAGTGCCCTAATGCAAGTGATACACTTTTAGGCCCTTTTCATGCAGGCACCGTGCACAGATCCCCTGCGGTTGATCGCAGCAGTGTGGAAGGGATGTCACTCCATGTCCATTCACTATTTTCCTCCATTTTATGATGGAATTAAAAACTGAGCCATACAAACCCATGCTAGGTCTATGGGGACTTGGATGTAAGCGTGGAGCAGGTAAGTAATGCAGCTTTTTCCTGTACTCCAGGCATAAGGAGCAGGTAACCCTTGCAGTACAGGAGAAAACTTTTCATTTCCCTGGGGTTGGGCTTTATACACCTTATACGTAACACATGTTGGGTACCTCCACACTTGTTCCACTTAAAGCAGAACTCCGGATAACATTTTTATTAACCCTTGCAGTGGGGCGACCTCTGCACTCCAAAGTTTAAGTCCTCATTTTTGTCCAGGTTAAAAAAATAACTAAGATATACTGTAGTATATACTTGTGTCTTTTTTCAACCTGACTAACTATGTAACTATGTAGTCCTGAGTCAGCCGGCTCTCGCGGTGCTCCCTCCTGCCTGCTATGTCCCTCGGCATCCTCATGTCCTATACACTGTGGGGGGAATTTATCAAAACAATTGTGACAGTTTTAGCCTCTTAGATCCTTCTTCTTTTTTTTAAATCTGCAAATCTGTCTTTAACGTGCGCCTGTGTTGACCAGAGCTTGCACTAGTTTTCCAATTGCGCGTGTGTGCGCCTGTCTTACGAAAGTTTGCAACTGTTTACATCTGCACTTGTTCTGCGGCTGTCTGAAACTGGAGCATCACATAACAAAACGATCACAACTTAAGAAGTTCCCATGACCACTTCTTCAAGAAGCGACAGTTAAGCTTTGTGCCTGGAGTTACAAGTCTTCTTTGCTTGAGTCTATTTAATCACTTTTATGAACAACTTTACACTAGCTTCATAAATCTGGCGCAAAGTGCGTCAAATATATTCCCTGCAAGTTCAAACACTTGCAACTGCTATGATAAATGCCCTCGACTGTATAGAATGTGAGGACTCCGAGACCTTAGACCGCTGCATCGGAGGGGGAGAGAGGCCCGGTCTGAGAGCAAACCAGCTCGGAGGATCGGGTGAGTTTAACTTTTGAACCTAGACAAATGAGCACTTAGCCCTTCCAGTGCAAGGGTAGCCCCACTGCAAGGCTTAATTAAAATGTTTACCCAGAGTTCTGCTTTAAGACCCTCATTTAGGAAGTTATATACAGCACTCTGCTGGCCCCTCCTACCTGCCATCATTTGCCTCGATTGCATAGAGAAGAATATAGAACCAATGATAACATCACTGGGTGTATAATAAAGTGTGTAATGAAAAGGGAAATGTTTTATATAAAAATGTCTCTAGCATGCTGATAGGGGTAAGAAGGAATCGGGGAAAGCAAAATATAAACAGATTAAACGTTGGCTTTCAGTTTTTAGATTCCTCCTTCTATATAATCTAATTTCTGGGTTCTATACATACACTGCTGCCAGGGTGAAGTAGATGAGTGAAATGACAAATGTTTGTTGCTATGGAAACTGACAGTCGGGAATGAGAGTACCTAATGTCGAGTATACTGTGTGGGTGTTTGTTATTGGAGTTTTTCCTATAAATATACTCTATATTGAACTTGGATTTTTCATGTAATTGAATTAATGTTTCTCAGTGAAATACTATTGTTTGTTTACATGTTTGAGTATGTATGCAGATACAGTATGGAGCCAGTATTGTACCTGCAATTAGAAAACAGAAGCAAGCACAATTTGAATAATGGAGTGTAGTCAATGCTTATGTGTCAGACATTTGTCTGTTCCTGAGTGTAGTCTTCTTCTCTGTATATGAATATAACTAGTCAGCATACCATTTTTCAAATACATTCCAATGGACCACAGGTCCAATTTTTGCTGTTAGGCAGTCACCCATTTGTTTTAGATGAAAACATTACAGTGGTATACAGTATATTGACATCTGGTCCATAGATAGTAACCCAATCACAGAAAGGTTGTTTCATTTTTAATTTGTTTAACCTTTTGGATATTTAAAAATTTCCCTAATTTTTACAGAAAATATTGCCACTGATCTAATACTATCCTACATCAAGCATAAGCTATTATTATCAATGCACGGAAGCTGGAGGTCCTTTTATCATTTCAATGGTGACATTTCTCTATTAGGTGACAGGCTTGGTTTAATAATAGCATATTAAAGGTAAACTCGAGGCACAAAAAAACTTTTGTTTTAAATGTATTCCACGATAGTCACAAAGGATTTAAATCCACTTTGTGTACACTACATGCCTTTGCAAGCACAGTTATTGCCTTGTAAAATTAGCAGCAACATCTTGACTGAGTTGCATGTAGCCTGTACAGAGAGCAGAGCTGTGGGAGGGACCCAGCAGGCTCCACCCACTGCAGGCTGCTTGTAGAAAACTATAGGAGGGTGTGGAGACAATACCAGTCACATTATCCAAGAAGAGAGCAGCTGGTGTTTATTACAAAAAACTACTTGTCCAAGGGCTAAAGTGGGGGCCGAATCTACTAGTCCCTCATGACAATCTACTTATCCCAATACGAAAAAATTGTTTCAATTAAAACTAGGGATGCACCGATCTAGGTTTTTGGGTATCGAGTACCAATATTTTGCTTTCAGTACTCACTATCGGTGCTTCCGTTGACACGGGACAGGCTTCCCGGGCAATCAGGAAGCCGGGCAGCAGGTTATGAGATGCTACCTGGTTTCCTGATTGCCAGGGAAGCCGACTCCATATTGTTTGAACGGATTGATTGTGAAAGGGTTCTATGGTGAGCTCATGTGCCGTGGTCACGGGTCCCCCAGAGGAGCGGGGGTCCCGGAAAACCACGGCTGGAGGGCCCCGGACAGGATCTCCGCTGCTTGTTTCCTTCAAGTGATCTGATCAGAAACTGCATGTCCCGGGCGATCAGGAATTCCACACCCCTGCAGGAAGCACCTGCACAGAGTTAAGGTTTCATACTAGATTTCTGGAAGAAATACACAAAGCACACCAAGAATCAAGTATGAACACACATACCTCTTGTATTTGGACAATATTTGCTTATCTTGGAGTTCAGCTTTCATGATAGGCTAGGAGGATTTTTCTGACTCTCTATTTTAACATAGTTGCATACTTAGTCAGGTTGAAAAAAGAAAAGAACATTGCGTTCAACTTAACAGTTCTTGGTCATTCCTATCAAACCATTACTTCAATGATTTGTTCCGTCTCTCATCTGTTTACTTTAGATTTCATTTCTTTCCTGTTCTCTGAAATTCAAAAATTGTGGCACACCTCTGACTGAATGATCCTTTATTCTTTTCAGATCGAGCTGGTAGCATAAGCACTCTTGATTCACTGGACTTTGCTCGTTACTCTGATGATGGAAACCGGGAAGTTGACGAGCGTGTGGCAGGTGAGTACCAACAGAAGTATCATTGATCTTCCTGTCGCCATTGATAAGTACACAATTGGTCTTCTAGTAAAACCGACATTCTCTGCAGTGTCTACATTGCAATCATAATGAACATGCAATGGTGTCTGCTTGGTATTGCCAAGGAATACATTTAGGAATAGTTTATACCGAACACGAAGTGTGAGTCAATACTCCCTACAGTAGTAAAATAGCCATATTTGTGCTCTAATGTAGTCTTTACAAATACAACCTCCTACGTAGAACACTCTCTGTCTATGTTGATTATCCTACTTACTCATTTTCAGTGGAGGATTGCCATAAAGCTACCTGCCCATTAAGCTGACCCAGTACTGTCCTGAAGTAGGTTGTCTGGTTCAGCAAAGGCTTGTACACATCAGGTAAAGGGATCACTCAGCGTGGAACATGGATTGCAGCATCATTTAGCACTGACTTGCAGTTGAGAGAATTGGGCTTCTCTGCCTGGGTGAGAATCCAGATACCTAAAAGATATAGCAAATGTCCTTGAAAGTGCATCACCAGTATCATAAGCCTAAATCGATTTAACAAAGAACACTATAATAAGATAATCTGCAGAACTGGAAGGTGGATTCAGTGAGCTCTTCCCTGTGTCTTTATTGTTTGAGGTTGGCCAAATTTTTTTTATCTCTCTATACATTTCACCAGCACCTTGTAAGATGGTGAGATTGAAGCTTTGGATAGGGTGTGGAAAGTGAGACTCTCAGTCAAGCTGTTATAGCTGTTTGTGTCCCCATTGAGCATATTCAATTCTTTACCGTACCGATGACCATTGTAATTCCGAAAGAAAATTAGAGGAAAGCCAAAATTTTGGAGTTGTCCCCAAAACAAGAGGCGAGGGGAAATCTTCCAATGGTGACACCTGTATCTGAGTCAGCAAGATTGAATTGTGGACGTGTTGGGGAGAGCGTGATATGAGTTTGTGGAAGAGTAAAGAAGCAAGGACACTTAAGGAGAGAAAGAGGCAATTAGACTACATTTTAGTAGGTTTAATGTAATTCTCTATTATCTCTATATGTAGATAAATCCTGCCCCGTCCCCCCCTTCGCCATTTGGACCTCGCTTAGAATAGGACCTGCAGTCAATGACAGCTGCTAAGTGAAGTATTCCAACATCGACTTTCTATGTGGCTCTCTGCACTCAAGTCACATAACATCTCAGAGCCACAAAAAGAGCTGGTGCTTTAAGATTTTCTCTATTCCTAACTCTGCAATTGCAGTTTTGAAGGGAGCAGGTAGCAATATAATGTCCAGCAGCCGTTGCTGACTGCGGGGGTCCTACTCTGATTGAGGTCTGAATGGGGAAATGTTACTTAGAGCCATTAGCCCTACATATCTTATTTGTTCTGGCATTGGGGTAAATGCCCCCTGGCCCAGTATTTCCCTAGTTCCAAGCCAGTGCCATGGAAAGGTTTAAAACCAAGGATCAACATGACAGCTAGCACTTTTGGAATTAGGTGTCAGAAATGTCAACCTCTGTTTTTTTCCCCCTACAGGTTTCCTTTTAAAGGAAAACTGTCAGCAAGAAAATAGCTCTTGCACATACATATGTTCACACATTAAATAAAGTAGCATGTTTTTGCCAAGGATGCCAGTATTTGGATAAATGTTACAATGACAATGGGATTCTATATTCACCATTGGTACAGCCGTGTATCTGCAGTGCTAGGTAAGGAGTCATGGTAAGAACTTACAGCTCTGCTTATTTATGCTTTGAGTAAAATCTATATAACAAACAGCTAAACTGCTCATAATAAAAGGTACACATTATTCTACATTAATATATCAATTGGATTTTGGAATAAATGTAATGTGCTTTAATAGTCTGCAGAAATAATAACAAAAAGCTAGGCACCTGAATATTTATCTATGGTCATCTTCAGCCATGACACAATCATGATTGTTCCCACCAACAAGACAGGAAAGAGTTTTTTTTCTTTTTAATTCCCTTCCTTGCCACACCTCCTCAGTGTTTTTTCTTACCCACAAGACAGTTGGCGGGGCATCGGTATGCTGTTTTTTGGATGTGTAAAGTACTGGACTTGGGTTCTGTTGGGTAGTCCCAATGGTGTACCATGAGTGTGCTGTGCACATGGGGTGGATTGTAGATCTCAGTGTTTTGGAGGGGAATGTACTGGGAATGCACTGGGAATGCACTGATGAACAACTTTAATCCACCCGCACATTCTTATCTTGCCAGTTTGAGATACTTTGTTAGGTGAAATTGTACAGTTCCCTGATGTGCAAGTTTCTTGTTTAATAGATCCATAGTTGGTGCCAGTGACAATTCTCTTTACATGGGATACCAGACATGTCTCTAATGAAAATCAAATGGGAACACCTTGATGCTGTACATTTCACCCCAACCCAAAAGAGCATGTGCTTGTCTCTTGATATGGAGAACTTTTGTTGGAATAATCTGTTAATCTGTCTTCAGTAACCGAGGAGTACCCTTGAAAAATAATTAAAGCTAGTTTTTAGGTAAACATTTTTTTTACATTTTGGATAGAGTGGGGTAGGTTTTAGTCCCTAGGTCAGTTTTCTTTTTTTGCTGTCGGTGCACCCATTGGGTAGAGTCATCTCTCTATTTGCACTAGTGAGAAAGTGAGGGAAAATTAAAAAATGTTGCCTCCAGAATAAGAGGCAAGAAGAAATCTTCCAATGGGGACAACTGTCTAAGGGGACATTCTCTTCATTTTGGGAGATTTCCTCTAACGCCTGTTGCGTCTCTGGGACCAGAAGTGAAGGGGGAAAAAATAATTTTGGCTATACATACACATAAAAAAGTTTGTGTGCTCATATAGTGCTGTGAGTTTACTATCCTGCAGGCGCAATAAAGAGTGCTGCCTTTTCCAACATTGTTTCTGTACAGGAAAGTGACGTTATTATGCTACTTTTTCCAGGTCATTGTTATAAATCCCAAGTATTAGACTAGAAGAATTTTAAAGCATTTTGAACACGAGCTTATATTCAGCTACCTGGAGGTCAATAAATGAAACACTAATTGATTCTTTTGAAGGCCCCACAAACTGCATTGAACTGTAAAATGACCAGATCAAATCTGGCATTGTGTTTTTTACTCTTCACTGCTTGGATTTTAAAGACCACAGATTGTGGATGAGTGTATCTGAGGTGACTAAATATTATCCAAATAGACCATATTAAAGCTAGTCCTGCTTAAGTAGCCAGATTGCAGGCTTAGCACTTCTGTTACCACCCTCCATAAATAGATTGGACAGTGTTAGAAAGAAAGCTTTACAAGAATGCTGAGGAATTCCAGCCCTTGTTTAACAACTGCATGAGACATTTTGTATCACTGAGTGATTTTTATTGATTTTAGTAGAATGATTAATTAATGAGGTGGTTGAAACAACAGGTTGAATCATTAAATAGCATCAGAATTTAGCAGCTCGAGATGTTTAACACACATAGTGATTAGGGCTGCAGCTAACGATTATTTTCATAATCGATTAGTTAGCCGATTATTGAGTTTGATTAATCGACTAATCGGATTAAAAAAAGGGTTCTAGTGATGGACTACTAGTTTCTATTGAGATTGTAGTCCATCACGGGAGCAAGCTTGGCATCGTTCTCGGCGGGCAGCGGCGAGTTGGGAAGCTCACCGGGAGTAGAGGGCCAGACGCATGTCCTCCAGCGTGGGCGCGGCGTCGCGTGACACCAGCGTGAGTGGCGTGCAGCGGCGAGCGGGAAATTTGAATTTTAGCCGACGAATCGACGATGGAAAACGTTGGCAACGTTTTCCATCGTCAATTTTAATCGACTTAATCGAATAATTGTTGCAGCTCTAATAGTGATCTTAACAAACGTCAGAGACCACACACTTATGGCCCTTTTTACTGTGGGGTACCAACCTATATGCCCAGCAGAGTGAGGGTTTTTCTAAGTGCATGAACATACCATGTACCACCCAAGCCTTGAGATTTTTAACCCTTTGTTTGCACAGTGCACCCATCTTTTTTACAAGCGATAATTAAATTGGCACAGTACACACAGGGTTAATTATGGTAAACCTATATCCTCAGCCCCTGCTTATTACAAAGCAGGGAAAAGCAAAGTAAAAAAAAATTGGGCAGGTAAAAAGGTAAGCAGCATTTTGTTTTCATGTTTTGCTATGTAATTGGGAATCATATATACAGTGGCGTCACAAGGGGGGTGCGGCCCCCACCCGGGTGACACCAAAATGACTGACAGTCATTTTGGTGTCACCCCCCTCTGAAAAGTCGGGCGCTCGGTCATGGACTATCAGAAGAGGAAGGGACCCGGCGGCATACCTTGTATACGTGAATTTAGCAGCACCCACATAATCTTTTACTGGGTTTAGTAGGGCAGGTTATTTTAACCACTTGCCGTCCGCCCGTTGTAAAAAAACGGACGGACGGCACTGCAGCATTGGCGGGTTGCCGTCGCTAGACGGCATTTTTTTTCTGCTCGCGCGCGCCCCCTAGCGGGCACGCACGGGCAGAGAAGACCCGACCAATGCAAACACCCGTTACCGGGTGTTTCACATATAGACGATCAGCGGCTCCATAGCCTGCCGATCGTCTATATGTGCTCGTTTTTTCGCTTCATCAGCTTCTTTTGGGGTCCTAGAGACCCCTAGGTCCTCTTTATGGAGACATTGTCAGTGTGCTTATTCATTTCAGTACAGCGTTGCATGACGGAATAAATGTCAGTCAAAGTACCGCAGCGCTGAATACTGAAAAATGGCCTGGATGGAAAAGGGGGTTTTAACACCGCGGATATCAACTGGTTAAACTGTTTACTGACCCAGTTAATAGGGCAGAATTGTCTTTCACAATGGTTTGGTCCTGGAAGATTACTAGAGAAAAAAAATCTGGTGAGTGGTTTCCTAGAATTTAAGACGCTGGGCTAGGATTTCTGACCCTTGTACCAATAAAAGCCTGCACTGGACTAGGCTATCTGACCCTTGTACCAATATTAGCCCTGCACTGGACTAGGCTTACTGACCCGTGTATCAATATTCGCCTGCATTGGACTAGGCTATCTGACCCTTGTACCAATATTAGCCCTGCACTGGACTAGGCTTACTGACCCGTGTATCAATATTAGCCTGCATTGGACTAGGCTTTCTGACCCATGTACCAATATTAGCCTGCACTGGACTAGACTTTCTGACCAGTGTATTAACCTGCACTGGACTAGTCTTTCTGACCCTTGTACCAATATTGGCCTGCACTGGACTAGGCTATCTGACCCTTGTACCAATATTAGCCCTGCACTGGACTAGGCTATCTGACCCTTGTACCAATATTAGCCCTGCACTGGACTAGGCTTTCTGACCCTTGTACCAATATTGGCCTGCACTGGACTAGGCTTTCTGGCCCTTGTACCAATATTGGCCTGCACTGGACTAGGCTATCTGACCCTTGTACCAATATTAGCCCTGCACTGGACTAGGCTTCCTGACCCGTGTGCCAATATTAACCTGCTCTGGACTAGGCTTCCTGACCCGTGTGCCAATATTAACCTGCACTGGACTAGTCTTTCTGACCCTTGTACCAATAATAGCCTGCACTACTAATTAAAGAAAAAGAATGTTAGCCTGACTACGCTAAAATATGGGAAAAATCTGGTTGTCAGCATAATTGTTCTTTGCCCCATCTTGCGGGGGAAAAAAATGCCTTAAAGCGCCTTAAATATTATTAGGGTTAAATGTATGAACGTTCTTTAAATTCTGTTCTCTGTATTTCATACAGTTTGTTCTAGCTGTCATACTTTGTGCATGTTCTTATACTATACTACTTGCTGTTTTAAAAATGATAGAAGTGGTATGAATTGAATAATAATAGCAAAAAAGTAGCCAAATTAGATCCACTGTAAGAACGAAACATGCAGCAGAGTGTTTGTTACCGTTGGCCTTTCCTCCCAAACGTGTTGTGGTCTATCTGCCATTGGCTTCTTGCAGTCTGACATAGGTTTTTCATTTATTATGTTGCCTTTTATATTATTTGCAACACATGTGGGGGGTTTTTTGTGTTTACTACATATTTTATGTTGTTCATTGTTTGTCATCGTTTGCTTTCAGCATACATAGAAGCTTCTTTATAAAAACCTAGTGCAAAGGAACTTAGTTCTAGTTTACATAAATGCTCCCCTTGTCATACACTTCTGTACCTTATTTGCAGAGGAGTTGTGTTTTTAAATCTTTGGCTGTCAAACATTATACTAGAGGAAATACAATTCTGACAGTGTTCTTCACAAAAGGGTGAAGAGTTTGGAGAAGGCAGGAGAAGTGAACAATCTAGGACAACATAGCTGATTCATCTCACTTTCCAGGTCAGCTATGTTGTCTTAGATTGTTCACTTCTCCTGCCTCCTCCAAACTCTTCACCCTTTTGTGAATAACCCTATCAATATTGTTTGTAATACAGTTACTATCACAAGTTATAGCAATATAAAATGGGCAGGGTAAACAGTATTTGTCAGAATAACCAGGAACAAAGTTAACAAACCGTGCCAATGTGCTCAATTGAACCACATTGTACTGTTTTCTTTCTTTTTTTTTTTCAGAACTTTATTGAAATGTCACAAGTGACATTTCATTAAGTTCTGTGAGCTTACTGCAGTGCGGTGCGGTTGTACCGACTCTCACTGTGGTGGGCTTAAAAAAAAAAAAAAGTACTGCATGCCATACGTAATGTGTTGGTATAAACCGAGCCCATCTATGACGAGGCAATTTGCCTTGCCTTATGTTCAGGCTGCGCTAGAATAGGCCAGCACAGCCCGAATGCAGATAGTGTGAATCTGCCTTTCGTTTGATCAGTAGATGCTATTCAGGACAAAATAAACACAGCAGTGAAGGAGCTTGTTCACAGTAAAGGTGCCCATATACCTTGTGATTATCTGCAGATTTTATATGGTCAGATGGAAAAAGTGCAACAGATTCCTCCATCTACGCTAAACTGTGTGGATGAATTAATCTCCCACTGGGCCAAGCTTCAGTATCTTGTTAGTCGGCCCCGCTGGCTCTCATAATACCTCCAGGTATTTTGAGAGCCAGCGGGGCAGACTAACAAGATACTGAGGCTTGGCCCAGTGGAAGATTCCTCCATCCACACATGTCTGTGAAGGTTCTCATTTATCCAGGTCATGGTATATCTGTAAAAAATAAGTCGAGGCAACTGGACTTGCTGTATTTTTCTTCAAGATGTTTCACTGGTCATCCAATCAGCTTTCTCAATTGTACAAAAATTCTCTGGGATTAAATATGATGAATGTTGCTTTAACACCTCCTAGCTCCACTTATGCAAAAGCAATCAACACCTGGTTGCGACTAACAGATGTGGATTGGAGCAACATGCGCCATATTTATTCCCAGATAATTTTTGTACAAGTCATTCTGAATTGAGAAAGCTGGTCGGATGACCAGTGAAATGTATTCAAGGGAAATACAGCAAGTCCAGTTGCATTGACTTGTTTTTTACAGATACTCCATCCACACAGTTTAGCTTAGATGGAGGAATCTGTTGCACTTTTTCTAGCTGACCATAGAAAACCTGCAGATCATCTATAGGTGTATGGCCAGCTTTAGACCTAGACCTGTCACGGTGCCTTTTCTACTTCCGCCCTGTAGAATATTGGTGGCACCTGTGGAGTCCGTAATTTCCTTTTTTAAATAGGATTTTGCAACCTGAAAAGCTATGATACTCTTCTTCTGAAGGAGAGGTAGTTAATACTAGGTATCCTGCCTGGCTGTTCACATCTAGAAAAGGAAAATATTAATCTTTTTACAGAGATAAGTACTATACTAAATTCAAGAACGCATATTTGATTTCTTATCCCGCAGCTTAAGCTCCTTGTCAGACAGCTTGAACTGAACTTGGTTTGATTAGATTCATCTTCATAGCATAAGACAACATTCATTAGTTTGCTAAGCCAACTCTGCTGCATGCTTTCATAAGTTCCATTAGACTGCATGCTTTCTGTTCCAGTACAAACTGTATATATATTTTTCCACACCCATCCTTGCTTTTTATTTTTATTTTTGTTTCCCTTTTCTTGGTTGGATGCCTGTGTGTGTTTTAATCCAAAACCCTGTCCAGTCCTGGAGTTTGAGCTACGGAAAGCCAAGGAGACCATTCAGGCCCTCAGGGTCAACTTGACACTGGCTGCAGGTGGCGTACATACAATTTTCTTCTTCCTAGTTCTATATTAAATTATTGTGAACTACTTGATAAGCAATAGGATTCTCACTGTAAACATATTCATGTGTTTTATTTCTGTGTTGCAGAAAACGAAGGTCCTTTGCAGGAACGAAAGAATTATAAATCAAGTCCTGAAATTGAGGTAGGATTATATGCATTTTATTTGGAAGAATTTTAAGAGGCACATTGTTTCCTAGAAATATGATTATTTACCGTATATGTTTTCTGTAAGCACTTAATCAGGGGTGGGCAACTCTGGCCCTCCCAGCTGTTATGAGACTACAAGCCCCATAAGGCATTGCAAGACTGACCATTACAGGCATGGCTCCCAGAGGCCAAGGCATTTTGGGATTTGTAGTTAAGGCACAGCTGTAGTTATTAGTTAATAGGAAATATACAGTTAAAGTATGAAATTAACATTAGCCGTGTCCAAAATTTGCTTCATGGTAAGGATGTTGCTGGGTTGAGTGTTCACCAATTGATATACATAGGTCAAAGGGCCTGAGGAAAGCAAGGATATATGTGTTAAGTCAAACTGTTTATCCAGACTATTGTAGCGAGAACTGACATTTGATCTCCTAAACTGTTCTGCCTAAGGAAACACTTTGTTTCCTATTAGTAATATTGTTTCCTTTTGATTGCTGTGTTCTTTACAAGCTCCTCACTGTCAAGCTGTTTAGATAATGTCAAGCAGACTGTCCTGCTGGTTAGATAATACACTGTTGCCATATTAGCCCAAAAATCTATTTTAACCCCTTAATGTGTGTGTGTGTGTGTGTTTTATTATATTATATTTTTTTTAAAGCAATTTTATTTACACTTTTTATAAGTGTACATCTCAGTGGTGAGACTTGGAAAATTATGAGCCATCGGATATGAACTTTTGTTGACCAGGCCCTGTGATAGCTACTCCATAGGGAGCCAAATGATTGTTGAATCCTGTTAATCTCTGGTAATGGATGTAACATATCTATAGAAGCTATACACATCTGGAGCTGTCATCCCAGTCTAGGTGTTGTCAAAAGCATTTCAAAAGGCTATATAAAATGCATTATAAGATGTTCTATTGTTTTAGGTGACTAAGCCTACTTCTCTCCAGGGCTTTCTTCAGACCTCAGCAGGTGGATTTTTTTTTACAGTTTACACATTAAAGGAGAACTATGGGGTCAGTGTTTTCCCCCATAGTTCTCCTAAGGGTCACAGGAGGATACAAATTAGCATCCTCCCGTGACCCAAAGCTCGGTATACCACGAGCTGTGTTTGTAATCCGTCAAAAAAGTTGTCAGGGATGACACCACATTATTAGTATTTCAGAGCTCAAAAGACACTGTGCTGTTAGCTCAAACAAGTAGTTAGGAGCACACTATATTTCTGGCAGATCAACAGGTATTTTTCTGTGCTTGCAGCATGTTTAAAGGGATTAAACATGGGGAAATGTACATGTACTTCAGAGATGTACCAAGTATGTTTTTATGTTATTTTGCTTTCACAGCTTTTCTTTAGGGGGCGCGCGCGAGCAGAAAATAATTGCCGTCTGGAGACGTCAACCCGCAAATGCAGCAGTGCCGTCCGTCCGTTTTTTTACTACGGGCGGCAAGAGGTTAATTTAGCTATTTCAGCAATTATTTACAAAAAAATTGAGATGTTGTCCAACATTGATTGTTGCCGACTTGCCAATTACACAATCATGTTTCTCTTGCTGTATTTTCTTATTAGTATATAAAAGGAATTTTAGGAAAACTGTTAAATACACATTTCAAATACATCCATCTAAGTGTCTAAGGATTTAGAAAGGTGCTCCTAAGCACAATTTCAACGCAATATAGCTAGGTCCTAGACCTCCCTGAAGATTGCGCATTAGTCTTGTCCAGGACCCTACTCTCCCTGTAAATGGATGACAAAAGTGCAGCAGCAGACCAATAAGGACTTTCCTATACTGCCCACCTTGAGGGCCCCTTTTCACCAAAATCGGACAAAAAATGTAAGTCGACATTGGTCCGTTGACTTGCATTTTTAACTTCCGTTGCTTTGCATGTTTTTTTTTTTCCTTTTACCTTTTTTTTCCCTTTTATCTTTATTTTAATTAACATGTCGTGAGTGGAGAAAGTCTGTTTTTTGTTTGTTTTTTTGCATTTTGTTGACATCCAAGACGCGGTGCTCTACTTTTTGTTTTAGAACACTATACTGAAGCACAACGCAACACAGCAGTGTTAACTGGTCCCATTCACACCCATACATTTTGTTTAGGTTACCTTCCGCTGGGATCCATCTGTTGAAAATTTGATGCTAATGGATTTGGTGTGAATGGGGCCTAAAAGATGTTCAACTGTTGATTGATATGTTGAGTGTTATGCCAAGCCCTGAATGTGCCAGGGTGCTAACCTCCCCCCCCCCCCCCCACCCTATATATCCTTTTTTAGGGT